TTAATCTTCTATTTTGTTCCAGTAATGTGAAAACATTATTATGTAAATCAATGCATTAAAACAAAACCAAAAGCACAATTTTCCTGTTTCAGTGTACATCGACATTATGCATACAAAAAAGCAGGCAGGAAAGTTTTACTAAAATATGCTAAAATGCAAAACAAGAAAAAAGCTTTATCCTTAGAGGCAACCTTCTCCTGGCCCTTTCCACAGTGTGATCTAGGCAAGTCTAAAGCCTTGTCTGTGCTGCTTAGCAATTATCTCACATAAACCTGAAATAGTATCCATATCTCTTCGGCTAATGAAACCAGCAAACAGTTAGCCATTGATGATTAAGTAGCTAGGAACTAAAGGTTTTTTTCCTTTTTTGCAGTTACTGATTATAGCTTTTAGCTGTTTAACCCACCCACTGTTAACTGTGCTGCTTAGGCAATATGCTATCTGGCTCCCACTATGCTCCTATAGATAAGATCTCCCTGGAGCCTGGGTCACCACAGTAATGGGTGTGTGAGCTGTTTTCAGGAATTAGAACTCCTTGTCCACTTCAGGTAGATTGAGACCATCAACTCATCAACTGGGCCCGTGGAGATGTCCGATAGGCAACCTTTTCACATCAAGAGGCTAAAAACTCTACCCTCAGAAAATGCTAATGCTGCCATTTTGCAAACACGCGTCCTGTGAAGAGGCATGGAGTCTGACTACGCTTGTGCAAATCATCAATTACCTCACCTCTCCTCACCTCCAATCACCAGTCTCCATATTTCAGACCACCTTGCGCCCCCTACACCATAAATATCCCGGCGTCTCTATTTTTGAGGCGGCAGTTTTGAGACTCATGGTCTCGCTTCCTCACATGATTCCCCTGTGATTAAACCCTCTCTCTGCTGCAATCTCATCATCTCTGTGTTTGGCTTTCTGGGATGTGGGCAAAAATGAACCTGGCACGCTAATACCAAGAGTACACTCACTTTTAACTGTCTTTGTATCAAGAAGCTCCAGTATTTCCAGGACTTTTACGATCTTTTCTTCAATCCTAATACTTTATTCAAACATAAGAAAAATTTATATTTTTACAAAATATAAGGGGGTGAAAAGTTTGAGACTAATTCATCTTTTTAAATATCATCATTTCTATAACTTTTGATTAAGATGTTGAAAAGCTAAGATAAATACATTGAAAGTTAGATGCAAGTATGAAGGAATGAAAAGTTTCTTCCTTTTTAAAAACACAGAATACTCTATTTTCTTAGTGTTCCTTTGGGCCATGAGAGTACCTTTTCCTAAAGGCCATGCCAATTTCTATGGCAAAATAGTAAGACAAAAATGTAAAGGGGGATGAAAACTTTTCTAAATCAATCAATAAAATTTCTCTTTAATCTAATCTGAACCTTAAAATAAATGTTCCTGTGACATTAAGTTTGCTAACTGATTTATACTGAATTAACAGTGACATGTTGACCCTATTTTTCTTCTGACTGGTGAGGAAAAAAATTAAAAGAAGAATTATGATAATCTAATTTATAAAACAAAAATCTCCTAGTATGAGTCCTTATAATCATTTGCTAAAATATTTATTAAGGACCAGCTGAGGCAGATTGTAAAGATGACAAACAGCTTAAGAGAAATTTTCTAAGTTTAAAGATTTGCCTAACATGGAATATAAAAAACATTAAAAACATCATACTAAAAGAACGCATAAACAAATGGACTAACTACAAGCGCATAATTATATAAAGGGAGGGAGGAAGAACTTCCAATGTAGTTAAGAAGGGCTGCACCTCAGGGGAAGCAGATCAGCTGAGATTGAACGGTGGGTATAATTTGACAGAAACAGAGGACATTCCAGGAACGGAAAATAAAGCACATATTTCGGGGACAAGGAATAGTATAAATAGGCTAACATTGAGTTTCACTGAAAAGTAGTAGAGGTATTGGGTTGAAAAGGAAAATTCCAATAGGCAGGAAATGGAGAGCCACTTAGGATTTCCAAATTAACTGGTAACTCAGATCCACACAGATGAATGTTAGAACTATAATGAAGGTATGCTTTAGGGCTATTCACCTAGTGAATACATCTCTGAAGTCTAGTGCCTAGCATGTATTCAGAAAGCAACAGACAGCATCGACTGTTGTTGCTGTTATTGTTATTGGCACAAACTTGTCTGGAACTTACTCCAGTAAACTACTGGTGAGGGCATTAGAGTCTCCTGATTTAGCAAAGTAGTGGTTGAAATGGTAAGACAATAGAGATTACAGTAAGAAATGTAGCAGGATATGACACTTCAAAATATGCCACTTTGGGGTAAGGATTATTTTGAACTGAAGGCAACTAAGAAGAAACAGATACAAAAAAAGCTCTCCGCCCTCCCCCATCTGCCTAAAAGCAGGACACACATTTACAAGGGTGTCCTTCTTCCTTTCTCTACCAGGAAGGACAAAGGTTAATCCCTGAAGACAACTTCAGACCCTAATCAATGGAGAAGGCACCTGCTGACTTAAACCTACATAATAAACCTTAATATTGCTTACCTTGCTTTTCCTGGTCAGCTACAAATAAGTGGCCTCCCCCCAATACCTTTCTTTCTGTCTTTAGCTGAAGATGGGATCTAAGTCTGAGTTCTAAGCCACCTCGGAGAGTTATTTATTTTTCTCTGAGTATCTCCCCCGTGCACAGTCATGCGCCACATAATGACATTTTGGTCAATGACAGACCACATATACGACGGTGGTCCCATAAGATTAGTACCATATAGCCTAGGTGTGTAGTAGACTGTGCCATCTAGGTTTGTGTAAGTGCGCTCTATGATGTTCACACAATAAAATCGTGCAGCGACACCTTTCTCAGAACACATCCCTGTCTTTACGTAGCTCATGACTGTACATGTGGCATATATGTTAACAAACTTCTGGGGTTTTTTTTCTCTTTTTATTCTGTCCTTTGTTATAGGGGTCTCAGCCAAAAACTCAGTAGAGTGAAAATTATTTTTTCTTCCTCTCTGGAACTGAAAACATTCATAAGAATGTTCATTAATTTTTCATACACTTTAACAAATCATAAACAATAAAAAGCCATGCTTAATATGTTTTTTTACTTAAAGAATATTCTTTTCAGAAGAATATTAAAAGACAGTAATGAAAAAATTATGAGATTTCCTAAATTTACACTTTTAAGTATCATCAGCACAAAAGTGATCAAACTTTGTGTCAGGCCCTTCTCTATGTAATGGGGATATATCAGTGACAAAAAGAGATGAAAAGCCATGCTGTCAGGTGCTTATATCCTATTGGGGTCATGGCAAAAAAATATGAATAAAAATAACAACACAAAATAAGTAAATTGTATATCATGTTTTAAGATGATTAAGTGCTATGGAGAAAAAATAAAATAGGAAAGAGAAACAGTGTGAGTATCAGGGAAGAGGATGAGAGGAAAGGACCACACTTTTAAAACAGAGTGGTCAGAAAGACTTGAAGGTAAGGGAATAATTTATTGCTCAATAATTACTTCCAAGTATTTTTCTTTAAAATAATTATTTTGAATATTAAAGACACTCAAATTACTCCTCTCTCTTGGTGACAGATTTCAAAAATACATACACATAGCAAAAACTATGTCTGAATTCCTATGGCAGCTGATTATCCAGAGTCTAACTTTTACTCCATATCCTTGCCATCTATAGGAGAAATCTGAAAATGTTCATAAAATCATGTTAATAAAAATATGAGACCAAATTGATTATTATGTAGCATCAATGACCGTTACTCTGAAAACCTGCAACTAGTCCTTAAAATCTGACTGGGCACTCAGGGAACAAGCTATGAATAAAGTGAACTATATTGCTCTATTACAGCTCCACAAAGAAATTCAAATAAAGTCACAAACAATGTAGGAAGAAGAAATAAACAGCTTGTTCGCTTTTGTTAATATTAAAGATATCTGAAGCACTGTAAGCAATGAAGAATAAATCTTAAAAGCTTACATTAAACATTTAGATTTACAGAGAATTTATAACACTACTTTGCCATATGATAATCTTATTCTAGTCAGAACTACAACTCTAGAAATTAAGAATTTATTATTATTCTTGATGTGATCATGGTATTGTGGTTATGATTCTTAAGGAAGACCTTATCTTTTAGAGATATCTACTAAAATATTTATCTATGAAATGAAATCACATTGGACACTTATTTCAAGAGAATCCAAGAGCAGGTAAAGAGAACTGGGTGGGAGAATAATGAAACAAGATTGGTTACGAGCTGGTAATTGATTAAGTTTGGTGATGGGTACATGACAGGTGTCATTACATTATTCTCTCAAAAATCTGTATATTTTCCAAAAGAAAGTTAAAGGAAAAAGCACATTTTTAAACAGTTGTTAACCTTCACCAACTTAACACCAAGCATCAAAGTCAGTATTTTGCCATACTGATCTACTACAATACTTCCCACCTACTAAAAGGAAAGGGAAGGCAACAAAATAAGTTATGTAAATTCAGTAGCAGTTACTAATGGGAACTTTGCTACTGACTTAACTACACATCAATTTCAGTTTTAATTTTGTGGCAAATAGTCCTAGCATTCCAGTACATGACTGCCAGCATTCTTAATGATGTTTTAATTAATCTCTTCTGAACTAAATTAAATTTACCATCGATGGGACACTGGCTACAATCTGTTCCTATTTCTTCTTGTGGCATTACATATTACTGCCACAGCAGTACACAAAGTTGAAAGAACACTTTATGCATGTGTATTTGATATAGGTATACTGACTGATTTTCTTAATCAACACTAAAGCAGTCCTCACCCTAAAAAAAATTAATATGTGTATATATGTGCTTGTGTGTATGTATGGCACAGGTAGTAAACGAGAAGAGAGAACATATATTTAATATTTACAGATAGAAGCCTTTCTTATTAAATACTATACATAATTTTTAACTCCCATATAAACAGGATTAAAGTTCAGAACATTGATGCTTAGAACGTGCACTTACCACTTGACCATTGTGTGGGTTCTTATGAGCATATGGAGGTCCACGGATATGATTCCACATCTGGCCAGAAGTCATAGCAAAGACTATACACTGAAAAACAGGGCACAATGTTATAACATGTAAACCAAAGAATACCAGAATACTGCATTTTAAAAAAATAGTCATGAAACTACCTTTTAAAAATCACACTGGCTCACTCATTAAAATAATATTCACTTGTTAACTGTGGGACCTTCGGTAAGTTATTTTTCTTTCTGCTTCTCAGATCTGCTATCCATAATATGGGGATGCCAACTATGCTGAAGAGATACAGTAATGATTAAACTAGATAACATTCGGAAAGCATCTGGCATGGTGACAGACAATCTGATATGTCCTAACCAGGGCCAGTCAAAAGTATAGGTGAAACACGATGTTTTAGACATACCCAGGAATAACCCATAGAGATTATATGCCTGCTAGGTCTACCTGAAAAGGCTGTATTTGGAGAACTAATCTTGGAGGTCCCAAGACATTATAGGGAGGGCGAGAGAGAGTATGAACCAGTAGTCACAATCACTATAACCTATGTGTAAGCATTTTTGGTTTAAATCATAAAATATGTTTAAATTTACAAACTTGAATATCTTTAGACTGAAATGTGCTCTTCACGTTAAAACAGTTCCCAGTACTTCCTACTGTCCCATAACTTGCCCAAGTCACTCTTGACTAGAGCTGCCTGGCTCTGGTAGGTATTTGTATCAACAAAGATTCAAGGTCAGAATGAACAATGCATGATTGGGGGTCTAAACAGTCTAGATTTGCACAATTTTTAAAGGGAAAAGTAGGATGGGGAAAATTACAGAGGATCTTTAAACTCAAGAGAATAAATCTGGATTCTGTTCTATAACTTTGGGGGAGCCAAGGTGTTTCAAAAGAAAATGACAATAACAGGATTATAGAGGTTAATCTGAATTCTTTTCCCACTTTCCTGAGAGTAACTCTGAAACTAACTCAAACTTCTTAAAAGCCAGATTTGACTTGTACACACTTAGCTAAGGTTGAGATATTTTCTGAAAGTTAGATTTGTACCAAATATTTGCACTTTAAACTGAGTAGATATACTAGAATATTACACCCAGAGTGAGCATAAAGAATTATATACCGTCTAAAAGAAATCATTTAAAAATGTACACTTGTTATGTGAGAAAAATAAATTGCATATCTAACTCACAGAAGTATCATGTCAGCGATTTAGAAAGTATATTAAAGTTGATTATGCTGTACATATAATATAAACAGTGTTTCAGGTAGAGTATATTTTAAAATCCAAGAAAAGAGAGATCAAGCGAATAAATACATTTATAGTATAAACAAGTGACCTCCTTGCTTTTAATAGATACCCAATAATACTAGAGTTCTACTTCTCGGAACCTAACACTTCAAGTCACTAAATCAGCACTGACACTATTGTGTATATTTATTTCTGGTTTTACTTTTACTTGTCTGCCCATTCTTTCTCTGCCTTTTACTGCTTCAACTGGTATTCCTATCTCCAACTATGGTGGAAAAAATACATATCAAGTTTTATGTTAGAAAGATGACATTAGCTACAGTATGGTTAACAGACTGGAGAAAAGTAAAATTTGCATAGAATTCAGTTTGGAGGCTGATGCACAAATACACATGAGAGAGCACAGTGGCTCATTCCATGGTAGTGATAGGAACTGAGAGAAGTACACATATAGGAGAAATATATAAGAGGCGGAGCCAACAGACAGTGGTGGTTGATTGATGTGAGAGAAAATAGTCAAAATTACTCTCTGGGTTTCTGGGTTCTGATTTGAGCAACAGGGTATAGTTTGTGGTGCCACCCAACGAGGTACAGAGTGGGGCCAGAAGTATGTGAGGGTGAAAGGGAAGCAGGTCAAAGATTTGGAGTTCAGTTTTATATGGGGTGACCCTAAAGTGCTTTCAAAACATCCATTTCAAAACATCTTTCGATGGTGAGACTTCTTTGAGACATTTGCATATGTGATCTAATGACAGAGTTCTAGGAAAAAACCACCAATCTGCAAAGGGTCCGCACATAGTTGGTTACTGAAGTCATGGGAATGGATGAAAATGCTCAAGAAGAGTAGATAGGGTAAGAGGAAAAGAAGGCCTAGAGGCCTAGGAAAGAACCCTGAGGAATACATGTATGCCGATTCATAACCAGGAGCCTGCAAAGGAACCTGTACACACAAGTCAGAGAGGAAGAAAATGAAGAAAGTAGACACATTGCAATAGAAGCCAAGGATAGAATTTTGAGAAAGAAGGATGTGGTCATCAAAAATTGTCAAATGCTGGAAAAATCAAATCAAACAACCTGAAGAGTCTCACTTTATTTCTGACTATTCATTTGAGATACTAAGATACTTAACAGACTAAAATATTTATAAAACAATGTATCCATCCAAGAATCTTCAACACTCTTCAGTTCTACCACTGGTATGTTTAAAGTCCTTTGCCCAGTGGTATATCATAGTAGTTAAGAACAGAGGCTCTTAAATTAGAACACTGCAGGTTCAGGCTTGTCTTCAGCACCTGCGCTACCTCGGAGAAGTTCATCATTCTGGGCCTCGGTTTCTTATCTATAATATTAGGATAATTATTGGCAGCAGTCTTTTTAAGCTAGGAAGGTTTTAAGTCAGTCAGCCCATGTAGCACATTTAAAACTGTGCATGATATACAATGTAAACTTAGTAAACATTATTTATTATTATTCCAAAGCCCTCCACAATTTGGTCCTACACTCCAAAATAGCACAATGGGGCCAGCCCAGTGGCATAGAGGTTATGTTCGGGCGCTCCGCTTCGGCACCCTGGGGTTTGCCAATTCAGATCCCGGGTGTGGACCTACACACTGCTTATCAAGCCATGCTGTGGCAGGCATCCCACATATAAAATAGAGAAAGATGGGTACAGATGTTAGCTCAGGGCCAATCTTCCTCAGTAAAAACAGCAGGATTGGCAGTGGATGTTAAATCAGGGCTAACCTTCCAAAAAAAAAAAAAAATAGCACCATGTCCCACCATTCCTTAACTGACACTGTATGTTCCATTCGGGTTACTCTTTTTGCTGCTGCTCACATCCCTGAGGCAATGCCTATATCTACATCTTGTTAACACTACTCCTACTCAGTCAACCTCTCTATACTACCCAAGGCCTATGTATGGTTCTCTATGAAGCTCTTCCAGTTTATTGTATTTGTTCAACAATTATTTACTCAGCATACCAAGTATTTTACTGGACACTTGGGGTATAACAATGAATAAGACAAAGATAGTCCCTGCCCTCAGGTAGAAATCCTAAATAAGCGACACGCACCCCTAACCATGAAAAGTAAGTGGGTATTTCTCATTCACTCATTCACCACTTATTTACTGAAAGCCTACTATATGCTCATGAACTGTTTTAGAAGCTGACAATAAAGCAATGAACAAAAATTCAAGGGGGGAACTGTCCTCGTGGAGCTTACATTCTATAGGGAAGAAATAGACAATAAAAAATAAAAAATTAAATTATATGATAGACAAGGATAAATGCTTTGAAGAAAAGTAAAGCAGGGAAGGTGGGAAGGAAGTCATGGGAGAGGAGGTTGCAATATTCATCAGAATGCTCAGCAGGGGCCTCTCCAAGAAAGTGGTATTTGAGCAGAGATCTAAAAGAGAGCAAGCCACGTAAACATCTGGGGAAAGAGTGTTCCAAGCAAAGGGAATAGGCAGTGAAACAGACTCTACTGAAGAATGAGTGGCATATTCCAGAAGGAGTAAAGAAGTCAATAGACTGAAGGACAGTTAACGACGAGATGAGAAATTGATCAGATAGGTGAAGTAATGCAGGGTGGATCCCAGGGCCACATGGGTTGACATTTTGAAAGTTAACTGTAGGGAGGGTAAAGGTGAAAGCCAGGATGCAGTTAAAAGGCTACTGCACTAAGTGGATGAAGAAATAATGAGGAGGTTAAACAAAGGTAGCAGGGATAGTGGGAAATAGGCGGAATCTGGACATATTTTGAAGAAAGAGCCAACAGGATTTTCTGAAGAATTAGATGTGGGGCGTGAGAGAAAAAAGGTGGTAAAGGAAGACTACAAGGTTTCTGACGTGAACAATCAGAACAATAAATTTGCTATTAACTAAGAAGTCAAAGACTATAGGTCTGGGGACTGAGACCAAGAGTTTGTTTTGTAACTGTCCATTCTGAGACACCTGACAGACTTCCAGGTAAGATGCAGTATGAGCAACTTGGGGAAGATTTGGCCCCAAGATAAAATTTGGGAGTCCATAATGGTTAGATAGTATTTAAAGCTTTAAAATTGGATGAAATCACTAAGGAAGTAAATGTAAATACAGAAGAGAAAATGGCCAAGAACTGACCCTCTGGCCACTCTGAAACAAGAGTGGTAGATAAAAAGTAACAAGCAAAGATCATTAAGAAGGAGCAGTCAGAGAAGTAAGGAAAATCACAAGTGTGGCCGGTTGAAAGACAAGTGAAGAAAGTGATTCAGGATGAAGAGATAAGTTGTGTCAATACTGATGAGAGATCAATAACATGAAGATCCAGAATTAAAAACTGAATTCAGTTCCCTGGGAAGTATTTGTGCCCCTAAAAAGAGCATTTTCAATGGAATAGTGGGTCAAAAGCCTTACGAGAAAAGAACGGAACATATAGAAAACTGTTTCAAGGAGTTTTGCTATAAAGAGGATCAGGTAAATAGAATGACATCTGGAAGGAAAAATGGTGTTACATCCCTTTAAGATGAATATGGGGATGTCTGCATTGCTAATGAGAATGATTCAGTAATACGAGAAAAAATTATGATGACACTGAAAGAGGGGAGAACCGTTGGAGCACTGTCATTGAAGAAGATTTTGTACACAAGCAGGGGTGTGAGTCTTAGATATGAGCAGAAACAGTTCAAATCATACAGCAGTACTCAGACCCCAAGGGGCCTATGCATAGAATGTAATAGGATAAAAACAAATCTTCATTTTCACTATCTTATAAGTAAAATATATAATTTCCTTCAACTATGCATGCAGGTGATAGATCACAATAGTTTTAGCAGT